ATTTTTGCCATTTAAATTTTTTCAAAAAATTAATCCGGTATTACCCGACAGTGACCTTATTTCCCGAAAGTATCCGACAGAATCAGAAAAAAAATTCGACTGCCAACCCAATTTTCTGATTCCATGTTATAAAAAGCGAAAAATAACCTTTACGACCTTAGATGTGAACATGAGCCCATTAATTCACTGTAGATTAAAAAAAATAAAAATAAAAATAAAAATCCGACCGACCGACCGGGAATTTTGAAATCCATGTAATACAAAACGAAAAATTAACGTTGCGTGGCCTTATGTTTTTTAATCAACTAAATTAGTCGACTAAACATAGTAGTTTACAATATTGATTTTTTAGTCACTAAACCTATTCCAATCTATACTAGATACTATTTCGTACGGATGTTAAGTGGCCCACGGTGAACTAGTTCAGACCGAGTTTGGGACTGGACTTTTGAGGGACAGTTTAGGACTAGTCCGAAACTAGACCTATAATTTTGTGATCTAAAGGTCTTCTAATTGACTAATTTACGTCAATCCAAATGTGATTATAAGAATTCAATACAATCCATGTAATTATAATTACGTAGTTTCAGACAGGGGATATAAACTAGTTTTTAACTAGTTATGGACCAGACTTTTTAAGGACTAAACCAGGACTGGACCGGACCGGACTTTCGTACTAGTACTACGTATCTCACATGATTATTCCAATTGCACATCAAGTTTTAACCCTAAAATGTCTAGATGAGATGTGAATGTTAAAACTATTAATTTTTGGCATTAATGTACTGTACGCAACAATCATCTTCTCAATCAAAACAATGGCCTTTTCCTTTTCGACTTGGCCACCTGTTCTAGCTAAAACAACAGAAGTTACTAAAACAGCAGAAGTTACTAATTTTTTTGATGATCTTTCTAAAGATTTTTTACATCTATTTGAAAATGAAAATGATTATGATATTATAATTCAAGCTGGTGATGAATCATATTTTAAAGAATTTAAAGCTCACTCCATTATTTTACGAGCTAGATCCCCTTACTTTAAAACTGCTTTATCCGATAAATGGGCCAAAAACAAAGAAAATACTTATTGTTTTCAAAAACCAAATATCTCTCCAACTGTATTTCTTTTAATTCTGCGGTATATTTTGAGATTTTATGAATTTCTATATCTATATAATCAGCTCTCTCTAAGTGCAGCTCGCCGGGATTTAGAAAAATTTCTTTAAAAAAAAATCTTGCATTTAGAGATTATATGTTTATTATACCCTTAAATAGGTTGAGACCGAAGCTAAACCTGCAATTTAGAGAAAATTTAATATGCCTGCATTTGAGAACATGCATTAGAGAGAGCCGACAGGATATTTATTTATATAATAACTTTTTAACTAATCATGAAAATTTAAAGATATATTTATACAGGAACTCTTAATTTAAAAGATCAATCTTGGTCTAATATCTTCGCTCTTCTTATTGCTGCCGACGAATTATTGCTTGATCGATTGGTTGATTACGTGCAAGGATATGTAAGGCTATTATATCTACATACATAAAACGTTTATTATTTTAATGTAATTTACAACTTAGATTTATATCATAAAATTGTAAATTTAAAATTATATGTAGCTTATTGAAAACGGATCGACTTGGCTTGAAGATAATTTTTTTATGGTTATGTCTACCGTTTTTAAGATTCAAAGTTTTAAAAAGATCCAATCTTACATTACAACAACACTTGCTCCACCAGTAAATTCATATCCCAATATTCTTGAAGTTCTTAATATTGCTGATAAATTGGCTCTAGACAATTTAATTGAACGGATTAAAGAATCTGTAAGTCTACACTACATAACATATATATAATTTTAATTTTGATTTACAAGTTATATAACGATCAATTAAATATTCATTTAGTTTATTAAAAATGAACCTTCTTGGTTTAAAGAAAAATTTGTTGATTTTTTGTCCGAGGTTACTAACCTTAAAGGATGTGAGAAAATTCAAGATTCAATTATAAAAATTATTAAGAATCAACAAATCTCTTGGCTTAAAGAAAATATATTTGTATATCTATGGGATATCAAAAATTTTAACAAATTTAAGAAAATTCGAGATTGTATCGTGGAGGCTGTTTGTATAGACCCAGAACCATTATTATTTGAGTTAGAAAATTTTCCAACATTAGAAAAAGACATTTTTTTGGAATTTATTAAGAGAGATGATCTAATTATTGAAGAGATCGATCTTTGGAATTATTTAGTGAAATGGGGAACGGCTCAATTTATTTCTTTATCTGAGGAAAAATCTGTTAATACAGATGTCACTAGCTGGGGAGAAAGCGAATTTTTATTATTTAAAACGAAAATAGAACCATTTATATATTATATTCGATTTCGTGAAATTTCGCGGGTTGACTTTTATTACCATATTATGCCTTTTGAAAAAGCATTGCCAGAAGATCTTTATAAAGAATTAGTTGCTTATTTTGTCGGCAATATTAAACCAAAACTTGTTTGCTTGCAACCACGTGTCGAAATGACTAGTATTGACTCTGGTATCATTAAAAAGAAAAATGCACGGACCATTGTCAGGTGGATCAAAGGGATAACTGCTTTTAACAAACAACCTTCTTACGAGTTTATATTTTGCTACCGAGCGACCCGCGATGGATTTAATTTCAAGCAACTTAATGCCAGTTTTTGTGGTTATTCACGAGTTATGTTGATTAAGATTAAAGATTCTGATAGAATAATTTGTGGATACACTAGTAATTACAGTTATAATAATAGTAGATTTTACTCATATAATACAGATCCTAATGATGATGGGTTTGTTCTCATTTTTGGAAGTGGAATAGATTCTAATTGTAAGACGCCTTGTCGTGTGATTATTAATTTTAATCAATCGATAGATTTTGATTTTGGAAGACACTTGAAATTGAATAGAGAGTATGAACCTAAAAATAACATTTTAATTAATTTTGATGATACGAATATTACTGCTGAAGAAATTGAAATATTCGAAATTAAAATCAAAGATTAACTTAATTGCCTATTATTTTACATGTTATTTTAAAAAAATTTTATAAATTTGTGAATTTGTCTAAATAAATTATAAAAATTTATATTAGTTTCTAACTATAGGTATTAAGTACACAAGTTTATTAGTGTACTATTAAATTATTTAAAAGATATTTTTTTATATTTTATTAACATTGCCATAATCTCCTTTTAACTATATACCTAATTTAAAAATAATTCTTTTTTGCATTTAGCATTCGGAGTGCTTTTAAACATTGAACACTAGTATATGTATTTGCAATTAATTGCAAGTATAATAATATCACTATCAGATGAGGTGCATTATTAATATTACTAATTAAGCGTTATTAATATTGCTAGATTAACTTTATCTTATTCATTCATGTATTATAAGTATAGATACAGATAAGATATATGGGTAATTATTTTTGAATTCAGACCAAAATGCTATCTCGTCATATATAAATTGGTCCGAGTTCAAAAATAATTACCCATATGTTTACGTCCAATTGATATGTCGTCACATCAATCGATGTATTTAAACAGTAACTTTACATTGTCATTACAGTATATTTAGAGGATAAATATAAAAATAATTGAAATTCATATAATCTAATTAAATTCAGAGCAATTTACTGTATAAGAAACTATTTTATTCGTGAGAATAATAAAAATTCTCAAATATTTATAAGAATTGGTGAAAATACTTTTTCCAGAAATAGTTTAGGTCCTAGATAGGTCAGGATAAATCAGACAAAATTAAATAAGTGTTTCAAAATTACAGCTGTTTTCATTATAAAGTAGATGTGCACTAAAATCAGGAACGTAGACAACGATATTTATAATTATATGGGGCGCGTCAAACCAAAACACGGCTAATGGCTTTTTTTAAATTTTGAGAAATCACGTTTAAAATTTCGTGTAACAATTAACAATGACAGAGATTTAAAAAAGGTTTTATTATGTAAATCAATATTTTTGTCCGAAGCGTAGCGAGGACTTATTCGTTCATGCAATGTTAGTCAGAAAAAGCCAAGAAAAATAGAAAATTATAAGATCTGCAGTCAATGTACTGTATATTGAATCGATAAAGGTAGTTATTATTGCTCAATCAGATGACTTTATTAAAACTAATTGAAAAACATATGGGAATTCCGTTCGCCACCAATTTACGCTCTATCCGTTACCCTTCAAAATTTCCTAAAACGATACTACTGGACTATACAGCTTTACCCCAAATACATCCCAATTTCCCATAACTCAACATAGAGCAGTCGCTGTCAGCTTCGAAACTCTTCATATAGCTGAGATGAGAATCGCTCTTATAATGCTACACGGAAGCTAATTATTCCGGAACGATGCTTATCGTAAAGTACTGACATTTAGCGTAAAACCACAACCATAAACAAAAACTCATTCACTGCACTTATAGACATGGGTCTAACATCCGGTCCTTGCACTGCCATGCAGCCGCGGAGCCAAATATCGCAAAGTCCTCGCACCGCTACTGCAGCCTCGGAGCCTAATCATTCGTACAAAAGCTCGCAACCACTACACTCCTCGTGGAGCTTAAAAACCCAGGTCCTTGCACTGCAACCGCAGCCTCGGAGCCTACTCATCGCACAACACAAGGCCTCCTGCCTGCTGTCACAGCCACAGAGCCCAACAGTTACCCAATCAAAAAACAAACTAAAACATTACTATTCCAGCCACAGGGCCTGACATACTCACCAAATTACCTTCTTACAAGCCAAATACCACCTCTCAAATAAACAAGAGACACTGATAAGCGGGCGGGTTGGGAGGGACAATAGAGCCAGCCTTCCTGCAAGGCGAGCGATAGCGAAAAGAAAGATAAAACCCCTTTTCTAAATACATCATCCTTAA